TCCGGAGCTTTGGGCTTCGTGAAACGAGGCCCAAGTCGTCGGGGAGGTTGAGCCCGCAGCTGGGTGGGATCCTCCTTCGATGTCGTGTCCGGAGGGGGGGGGGGTACGTGATATCCCCCCCCTCTCAACCGGAAGAACTCCTTGTACTCCGGAGACAAGTCCGCCGGGACCTCCACGGGTATCCCTTTCGAGGGTTCACCCCGTGGTGGGGATTCTTTACGGACCCCAAACATCGCCTTAAGGGGGCGACTCCCCTTCATTAAAGACGGCACGACATTTAGAAAATTGTTATAATTGGCCATGTTGCGTAATATAAACACACACAACGCGACCCCTCTCCGATCGGATCCGATCTCGAGGGTGAGTCCGCCGCTCCGGGGGTGGGTATTCCCCGCACGTGACCCGGAGTTGTCACGTGGGCTATCCGACGATGCGGGGATGTAACATCCGCACCGCCGGTCCACACAACGGCATCATCCCCGTGTCGCGGTGCCCTGGGCAAGCGTGGTGCCTCTACGGGTGCAATACCCACATGGGACTATGGGCCGGGTCATTCCCCACATCCCCCCGAGGGAGGCAGAATCTCCGACCCTAGTTCCCCATGCGGGTGCCCAAGACTACACCGGACCCAGACCTTGGAATACGTCTAAGCGGCCTCGGTGGCCCTAGGCCGTGAGCCCTGCCTCGGAATATGTCCGAGCGGCCTCATGGCCCATCCACGCAATGGCCTTACGGGGAGACTGCGGACCCTGCCTCGGAATACGTCCGAGCGGCCCCGCAGTCATCCCAGAAAAACTCTTCCCATGGGCGGAGCACCGCCCCCCCCCGGCTTGTGTCAAGCCCTACATTTAGTCAGTGTTTACATCTCGCCTAACCGGAATGTGAGATATTTTGACTTCGTGTTGGAAGACTTAAGGTCATTCATAGCGCCGCTCAGAAATAAAAGTTAATCATCGCGGGCGATTTTAATGCCAGATCCTATACGTGGGACAGACTCAACAACATACGCGGAATCGTTATGTGCCTCTTCGCTGGATTTATACCTGCTCAACGAACCTGAAGTACCTACCTGTATTCGACTTCAAGGGTCCTCCGTTGTCGATCTTACTCTATGCTCATCAGCAATGAATTCCTCAGTTGGATCGTGGAGGATACGTAATGATTATGATATGGTGTATACCGATCATGTATTAATTGACTACGGAATTGACATCCCTTCGGTTCAGAGAGTTAACAAGCGATTTTTATTTATTACATGGAGCACGAAACAAATGGATAAAGACAGATTTGCGGCAGCAATGATCGCTGGCTTTTGGGCGCACCCTCATGAGGAGGATCTAGGGACTTCTATTAGGAGAGTCACCTTTGTTGTGCGACGTGCCTGCGATCTGTCAATGCCTCGCATTCGGAAACGCAACAATAATAAAAAACCAATATATTGGTGGAATAGCAAGATTAAGGAGCTGCGACAGCAATACCAAGTTTTACGCAGATGATTTACCTGCGCCAGAGCGCGCAAGACAAGACCAGTTTGGGAGCCGATGCAGCGGGAAAGGGTTGCAGAAGGCACTGAAACAGGCCATAGCGAAAGATCAAGCCTGGAAAGACATGTTGGAATCTTTGGAGGGCGACCCGTGGGGTCTGCCCTACAAAATAGTCAACAAGAAGCTGAGAGGCTACTCATCGCCTGTATGCGAATCATTGGAGCCGGACTTTATACGTAATACTGTGCGTGCGCTGTTTTCCATTGGCTGGCGATGTGGACAGGCCTGAGAGAGGATACAATTTCCAGGAAACATCGGAGGTGACATTGGCGGAGCTGCGACTGGTCGTGGCCAGATTCAGGAGAAATGAAAAGGCCCCTGGACCCCTGGATGGCATAAAGTACCGGACTCTGACTGGTACGTTCGAGTATTGTGCTGACCTGGTTTGCTCAATCTTCACCGGCCTCTTGCGAACTGGTGTCTTCCCAGCCGAGTGGAAGCACGCCAGATTGGTTCTGCTTAGGAAGCCGAACAAACCGCTCGACTTGTATTTGTATTCCTCCTACAGACCGTTATGTCTTTTTAATACCTTCGGCAAGATCTACGAAAAAATTGTAGCCAATAGACTCACGTTGTTTATCGAAAGTAGAGAGCTGTTGTTGACCCGGCAGTTTGGTTTTCGACAGGGCCGATCCACATAATAGATGCTATACATCGCACAAAGGTGGTTAGAAAGGCCTTTGCTGCTGACCACTGCGTGGTTGCGGTGAGTCTGGACATATCGAATGCCTTTAACTCTGTCCCATGGACTGAAATTCTTAGAGCTCTCGGGGAATTTGAGGTCTCCGACTATTTATATAGCGCGCTGAGTGATTATCTGAGGGATTGCAGAATCTCATACGTTAACAGGGATGGCGAATTGGAGGAGATAGAGGTGAATTGCGGGTTCCACAGGGGTCGGTTTTGGGGCCACTCCTCTGGAACATAGCGTTTAATCGCTTATTTGAGGACTTCCTTCTTCCTGACTGCTCAATTTGTTGTTACGCCGATGACACCCTAGTGATTGCTGAGGCTCCGGATTTCGAATTGGCTAAAACGCGCGCGGAGTTGGCCTCCATCATGATCATTAATAGGATTCAGGCTGTGGGGTTTACCGTGGCCTCACATAAATTTGAGTCTGCCATCTTTGTTAGGGGGCGACCCCCTTTCATGCCCGGCACCAGATCGTTGAACCTTGGTGGGGCGAGGGTCCCCGTCGGATGTAGGATTAAATATCTGAGTATTATTCTGGATACGAGGTTTAGCTTTAGAGAGCACTTCTTGGCTCTGATTCCAAAAAAAAAATGAAGGGAATTTCACTGGGCCTGGTCCGGCTGATGCCATACCTGAGGAGCCCGGGCCAGAGACGGAGAGCCCTATATGCTTCGGTTCTTCAATCGATCATCTTCTATGGCGCACCTGTCTGGGCCAAGAGTTTCGACTTTAAGTCGCTGTTGCCCGAAGAAGTCTCTAGGGCTCTCTCGGACAGACGACCTCGAGAGTTATCTCGGGATATCGTACCCTCTCTAGAAACTCATCCTTCTTATTGGCTGACATCTTGCCATTCGAAGTTAGGGCGAGGAAGCTCCGCAGACTGTACTGGAATATCAGAAGGATAACTAAGCAAACGGGGAACCGTTTGTCCCCACAGGACAGAGCCCGTCTGAGGGCGGATTCGGATTCCGAGGCCCTCGTGGAATGGCGACAGCTACTAGACGTCGCCAATCATCATACGCCTGGATATAGGGTAGTCTCTGCGCTGGGAGAGAGGCTTGGGGCGTGGACCGGGCGCGACTACGGGGCGGTCACTTTCAGGACCACGCAGTTGTTGGGAGGTCACGGCGTTTTCGATATACGATTTCCTATATATATAGAATTGGGAAAGCCCCCCACTCCTATTGTGACTGGTGCAACGGTCGAGAACCGGATACGATCTGTTCCAGTGCTCTGCATGGAACAGAGAGAGGGCGGAACTTCGACGAATAATTG